TGGTTTTGGAAAAATATACTTCTATTTAGTGAAAACCTGAGGTTTGGTCAACTGTAGTAAAGTACTCGATACTCGACATCAATTTTTTTCATCAACTTCGGATTTATCTCCTCCTGAATTTGTGAGAAATTGTAATTTCGGATGGCGACCTTTGAAAAAAATCTTATGAAATCTGACATCATCACTATAAATTTTCTTGTCCTCAGGATACCGTGATGTGTATCCGTTAGAACAGTCATCTCTCATGTAAGATTCTTCCACCTGATTGTTGAATTTTTCATCATACAGTTCTCTTGGAGGATAAAGATATTCCCAGTTTTTTCTAGGCTTGCTGGTATAACTGTATCTTTCAGAGATTTGATTGGAAATATGTTTACCAAAGTGCGATCAAATAATCTTATCAATTGATACATTCCACAGCAAACATCCTATTTTTTTTAAGAGTTCTGTTCATACTTTCACCAACACCGTTTTTTGGTTCTGATTCCAATATCCTTGAAAAATTTCCGAATTTCTCTGGATATGATTCGTCTTTTATTGTCACATCGAAACGTTAAACTTTCTTCTTCTTTTCTCCTCGTCCTCGATTTTAATGAATTCCGAGTAAATTCCATCTGGAACTGCAGCTTTTCTGTTTTTTGACTACGAGACTGCATGTTAAACTTCTTCCATAGTTATATCAAGCCATTCGCTTGTATATTGTTCACAATTCAACTTCAAAATTCATTTTCCATCAACAGCTTTTGTGTTTCAAGGAAATTAAGCTCTGGATCAGGTTTGGCTGTGTCTGAGTGAATCAACAGCTTCAATCTATTTTTTTTTTGGGTTCCTCTATTCAATTTATTTCAGGAAATCTTTTTTAAACATTGTCTAGAAATTATTATGCTCCCAATGCAATGTGTACCTACATAATCCATATAGAAGAATATTGTCCATGATTTGTTGGAATGTGGATGGGCCCTTTTTTAATCCAAATGGCATACGTACGAATTCCAAATGGCCTTTTTCTAAGGGAAAGTGGTTGTGGCAATATACTTCTATTTGGTGAAAGCCTTGAGGTTTGGTCAAGCGTAGTGAAATGTCACTGTTATGAACAACTATCAGTACATTCAAACATCATTCCTGATACAATGGCGACAGTCCATAATTTCGTTAGGGCACTGTGCTCTCATTTAGGTACTTCGATGCTAAATAGGGAGATTCAGCATCACAGGTTCTTCGAACGGCGCCTCCACCATATGTCATACGCCTCGCGGCTAATGTAAGTAGGACCTCAGGTTAGTGGTTGCTCTTCAGGAAAACACGCAAACAACTGCAAAAAGGAGCTCAACGTATGTTGTCTACTGGTGGGTATATTACCAAAGGGGCACTACGTAGGTACGCCATATGATACTCACGTTCGGGACTCTAGGTACATATACGGAGATGCAGGGAAGGGAAAGATTTCCTGGGGTGAAGAGTATTGCTCCAAGACTCTCTGGGGTAAGGCGACCTTATAAAGAAGTGTAGCTACTGCTCCTTTGGGTAAGGAGACCCTGAGGAGAGAAAGACCCAAATAGTTGACGATACCATGGGCTGCATCGATTTTGATACCTATGCATTTTGTGTAAACATTACTTTACGCGTTGAGCAGCTTGAACTGCTGATTGTTTGATAATTTTGGGTTCATCTATTTATTTCAGGAAATTCCTGTTATTAACATTCTCTAGAAATTATTATGCTCCCAATGCAATGGGTACTTACATATTGCATATAGACTAAGCATTTTTCGTTTTGAATGCCCAGGAGAATATTGTCCATGATTCTTTGGAATGTGGATGGGGCATTTTTTAATCCAAACGGCATGCGTACGAATTCAAAATGGCCCTTTTCTACGGAAAAAGCGGTTTTTGAAATATAAATCTATTTGGTGAAAACCTGAGGTTTGGTCAAGTGTAGTAACGTATTCGATAGTCGACAATTCATTTTCTTCATCAACTTCGAATCCATCTCCTCCTAAATTTCTGAGAAATTGTGATTATATATATAGTATATAGTGAGCTTCGTCGTCGTCGTCGGACCTACTACGAATTTCAGAACATGGCTCGTACCAAGCAGACCGCTCGTTAATCCACTGGAGAAAAAGTACCTAGAAAGCAGTTAGCTTCGAAAGCTGCACGTAAAAGTGCTCCGGCTACCGGAGAAGTCGAGAAACCTCATCGCTACAGGCCTGGAACCGTCTCATTTCGGGAAATTCATCGTTATCAGAAAAGTACTGAATTGCTGATCAGAAAACTTCTATTCCAGCGCTTATTTCGTGAAATCGCTCAGGATTTCAAAACCGATTTGCGTTTCCAAAGTTCAGCAGTACAACAACAAAAATTAATAAGATTTTATCAGAACAGATTCCATTTGGTTTGTGAGTCAACAAGCTTATCTTTATCATAATTTAACTTCAAAATTCATTTTGCATCAACAGCTTTTGTGGTTGAAGGAAATTCTGCTCTGAGCCAGGTTTGGCTGTGTCTGAGTGAATCAACGGCTTCCATCTATTTTTTTGGGTTCATCTATTCCATTTATTTCAGGAATTCTCTTTTATACATTGTCTAAAAATTATTATGCTCCCAATGCAATGGGTACCTACATAATCCATATAGAAGAATATTGTCCATGATTCTTTGGAATGTGGACGGGGAATTTTTTAATCCAAATGGCATACGTACGAATTCGAAATGGCCCTTTTCTACGGGAAAGTGGTTTTGGAAACATACTTCTATTTGGTGAAAACCTGAGGTTTGGTCAACTGTAGTAAAGTACTCGATACTCGACAATTAATTTTCTTTATCAACTTCGATTCCATCTCCTCCTGAATTTGCGAAAAATTCTAATTTCGGATGGCGACCTTTGAAAAAAATCTTATGAAATCTGACATCATCACTATAAATTTTCTTGTCTTCAGGATACCGTAATGTGTATCCGTTAGAACAGTAATCTCTCATGTAAGATTCTTCCACCTGATTGTTGAATTTTTCATCATACAGTTAGTTCTCTTGGAGGATGAAGATATTCCCAGTTTTTTCTAGGCTTGCTGGTACAACTGTATCTTTCAGAGCTTTGATTGGAAATATGTTTACCAAAGTCCGATCAAAAAATCTTCTCGATTGATGCATTTCACAGCAAACATCTTACGTTTTTAAGAGTTCTGTTCATACTTTCACCAACGCCGTTTTTTGGTTCTGATTCTCTCAAGGAGATTTCCTTGAGAGATTTTCGAATTTCTCTGGATATGATTTCCCTTTTATCGTCACATCGAAAACGTTAGACTTTCTTCTTCTTCCTCTCGTCGTTCTTTAAGAATTTAATGACTTCCGAGTAAATTCCATCTAGACCTGCAGCTTTTCTGTTGTTTTGATAACGAGACTGCATGTTGGACTTCTTCCTTACTTATATATCAAGCCATTCGCTTGTATATTGTTCACAAGTTAACTTCGAAATTCATTTTGTATCAACAGCAGAAGGAAATTCTGCTCTGGACCAGGTTTGGCTGTGTCTTGAGGGAATCAACAGCTTCCATCTGTTTTTTTGGGTTCATCTATTCCATTTATTTCAGGAAATTCCTGTTAAACATTATCTAGAAATTATTATGCTCCCAATGCAATGGGTACCTACATAATCCATATAGAGTAAGCATATTTCGTTTTGAATGCCGAGGAAAATATTGTCCATGATTCTTTGGAATCTGGATGGGGCGTTTTTCAATCCGAATGGCATACGTACGAATTCGAAATTACCCTTTTCTACGGAAAAGTGGTTTTGGCAATATACTTCTATTTGGTGAAAACCTGACGTTTGGGTTAGTAAAGTAGTCGATACTCGACATTTCATTTTCTTGATCAACTTCGAATCCATCTCCTCCTGAATTTGTGAGAAATTGTGATTTCGGATGGCGACCTATGAACAAATTCTCATCAAACCTGACATCATCACTATAAATTTTCTTGTCTTCAGGATACCGTAATGTGTATCCGTTAGAACAGTAATCTCTCAAGATTCTTCCACCTGATTGTTGAATTTTTTATCCTACAGTTCTCTTGGAGGATGAAGATATTCTCAGTTTTTTCTAGGCTTGCTGGTACAACTGTATCTTTCAGCGCTTTGATTGAATATATGTTAACCAAAGTCCGTTCAAAAAATCTTTTCGACTGATTCACAGCAAAACATCTTATCTTTTTAAAATGATTCTTTGGAATGTGGACAGGGCATTTTTTAATCCAAATGGCATACGTACGAATTCGAAATGGGATAATGATTTTTCCTGGGGAAGGTAATGAGGTTGTTTCCCGTTGCCTTCCTCATCGCAGTAATAAAACCGTTGAGACAGACCTTGTCGCGCCTTTAACTGTGTTATATGGTGCCATTTTTCTTTCTATATCTAGAAGTACGTCGACCAATTACTTTTAATGTTGCTGCTGCCCAACACTAGTTTTCTCGCCATATCTGGCTACCCTCACATAGTTTAGCCTGCAGGTCGATGCAGTGTCCAGGGTGTGGCATGTGGAGCTGACTGCCCTGTGAGAACCAATTGTTTGAAACCATCTTCAGTCTACGACTTTTGCTGCAACCGTCTCAAACTTGGATGTTCTACCTCCAGCGCAGCCTATACAACCCCCATTAGCTACTGATTTCAATAAATATCTGATAGTACATACTTTTATCTAACAATAAAGAAAAATAAAATCTCGTTTGTCCAATAGATTCGGAACGAAACATTAATAAAACGATCTCATCGACGTTGAACAAGTAAGTTAATTACCGATATCAAGCGGATCGGGAATAATGGGTAACGTGATCGATTCGTGTACCTAATGTTGTTTGTTGTTGTCTCTTTGTGTTATCGTTTGCACAGACACTGATTAATTCGAGAGAAACATCAATATATAGAGCCCCTGTTTACTGTCGAGGTTAAATTAAATCGGAATTTCTAAATAGAGAGGATAATTGAATTGTTTCTTTTTTTTCAGCTGAACGAATAGATGAGAAACTCCACAAACGAACCACCGTGAGGATGGGAATAAGGGTAGTCCAGAGAGCATTCGCGCCACCTTCGCCGTATAGATACGTACCTGGTGGCGGTAAAACGACCAAAGAACAAGCCAAAATGAACAGAAAAGCTTTGCTGTATGGATGCAAAAGTGCGCTACTGGATAATCGGTTCTTTTTGCATGGTAATGGGGTCATTTAGCAAGGAATTTTATTTATTTACATTGCTACATACTATTTATTTATTTTCTTAAGTTCATTTTATTAAATGACCCCATTTTATATTGATTTTTGATAAGAACTTTGAAATTAAATTGTTCAATTTTTCATTTGAAGATTCTGGCATATCAAGATCAGCAGAAACAGTAGGCACAGCGCAAGAAAATCCTCAACAAATTGACAACGAATTTCGATCTGCGCACAGATCAATGCCGGAATGTCGTCGTCATGATATTGATTCTACTAATGAAGGTAATAGCACATTGAATCAAATCAAAAATCTATTGATACCAAAATGCATAAATTTGTTTTAACTTGATACCCTCATAAAATTGGTTCGACAAAGTTTATCTCGATGTTGGGCGGAACTACTATGCGATTTATTTCTGGGAATAGGACGGTTTGTAATCGGATTTGAGATATCGGATACGCTTAAGGGCGTTCGATCGTTGGGAATTTCTAAATTCCAATTTTCACACAAATTGTAATGTCAACTTTCGTCCCTAACAGATTCGGAAAACAAAAGTCCCAATCTAAAACCAATTGGTCACGTGAAGTTCGATGAAAGACAAAAGCCGGACGCAGGACAAAAAGATTCACCGATGGTTAATGGACAGGGAAGTGGAGATGGTGACAAACGGAACGAAGATTATAACGATGGCCTCGACAAACGCAGAATGTCATTGAAATGCGGCGGACCGGAAGTGAGAACGGACAGCGTCGAAAGTAACGAGGTAAGTTTGCATACTAAACTGAGTAACAATGAACATATGTTTGTCCGCTGTTTAATGAACCTCAGAATATTGCGACTTTTGTCTAGAGGGTGCTATCAAAATTTAACACACTAGTAACTTTTTTTGTAGGACGTTACATAAATGTTTTGTTAAAGCAAATCGACTCAAATAACTCCAGTAAAGTTTGGAGGCAAAAAATAAAATTTATATGGACGGACACAAGATCCATGTCTAATAATGTCAGAAAGGGCAGAAAAGGGTTGGATGTCTCTTAGACTGGCGATGATGTTTGAGGTTTTGATAGTCTAGACGAAATATTGTTCATATTCCATGAGGGCGATGAACTTGGGGAAAAACATATCTTTTCAAAAGTACAAAATTCGAGAAAGTATGCTTGGTTAATTTAACATGGGTTCTTATAATTCAGATCATTAATATTTCAAACGCAGATTGAGTATATTCTATATGAATGGGAAATAGACCATGCAAGAAGAGTTTTATAAATGAAAATTATTTCTCAGTGTCGCAAATGCATTTTGACTTAGAGGAAGCTATTTTATCTCAACCCACTCGATTCTGTCGTCGGCTTATTTGAAAGGCCTCGAAAGACTGATTGATGATGGAAAATTGAACTAAAAAAGCGACAATACCGAGCAATTTATTAGGGCATAATAGGTCTTTGTCGGTCGCTCCGGTGTAATACTCTCTGACAAAAAGCCTATTGTTTGAGGTTGAAAACAATGTCATCGATTGCAAATTGTCTATTTGCCCATTTGCTGATTGGGCTTGAAATTAAAAAGTGGCATCTTTAAAGAAAAATTCCAGTCTTTTTTCGGGTTGCCTGGGCATGTGTCCTGCCTATCTAAGCCGTTGAGCATTTCTTATTTTCCACAGATCTGGTTCATCGTATAGCTCTCTCAGTTTTGCATTCGTTTTATTTCTGTATTGCTGCGTCTGTGGGATGACGGGCCCCACGTTGGGCGCCAAATTTGCTACATTTTTTTCTGGTAACAAAACGGAAATGACCGGAATGAGGGTGGTTATGCAATAACGCACACTGCAAGGAGGCTACAGTACTAACTGCCTGAGGAATGAACATCGTAGTACTCACCTGTTTTTTTCTGTAATACAATTAAAACTTTGTGGTGAGGGGTTTTTGGCTTGACCGTACGGACTGGTATTTTTGGTTTATTTATAGGATTGATAAAATAATTTTAAATAGCATTTAAACATTTCACCGTAACACCTTGTCGGGCCGCATATTTTCCTAAGTATTCGCCTTTTGAATCTACGGATTTCGTAACATTATCGCCCATGATTCGCAGCCATATATGATGACAGGTCTGATGTTGGTTTTGTATACTTTCATTTTGGATCTTCTAGTAACTTCTTTGGATACAAATATATGTTCTTAAGGGCATACAAGCAGTTGTTTGCGGTTTTTGGTCAGTACTTTATTTCCTTGCCGATGTCATTGTCGCCTGTAACGATTGACCCCAGGTACTGACCTGCTTGACGTACTCATTCATTGTCACATTTTGTCCCACTCTCCTTCTGCCTATCCTAGAGATATGCATGTATTTAGTCTTGCCTTTGTTGATTCTTAGACCCATTTCAGATGCCCCGTGCTCCAGTTTAACAGACGCTTCTTTGCTATTTATTACGCTAGTTTCCACCACGTCAATATCGTCCGCTCAAGCAAGTATTAGTTGCGAACCATTCGTTTCGCTTGAAAAAAGTCGGGGATAGCGCATCACCCTCCTTCAATCCCGACACATCACTCCCAACTTTCACTCTGCATCAGGAACCTTCTACACAAACTCTTGTTAGTCTTGAGTTATCCCGAATTCTGCCGCTGTCTCCCAGATTCCAACTCTTTTAGCACTATCAAACGCCTATTGGAAATCTATAAGCAGTTGGTGTATATGCCTACTGAATTCCAAGATTTTTTCTGGTAGCTGTCTAATTGTGTGTTTATGAGCGATATTCCTCTTGTAACCATTGGGACACTAAAGCAACCTCGGTAAAAAACACCCAATGACACCGGTTCATGACCAGTCGCGAAAAAAAGGTGTAAAAGGGGATTGTCATACAAAGCGAAAGAAAACACTCCTTATATTCAACAAAAATTGTTGATTAAACTTGTAGATGGCATAGAGAGGACTGTAACTTCTCTAGTTTTCAATGTTGAAATCATTCTGAAAAATAAAATTATTTCAACATCACTTGTTGCCATTCCAGAACATATCAATAGCAGGACTTTACTTGATTTAGACTGCATTGAACTTGCCAATATTGTGATGGACATTCCTCAGGGACAACGGTATTATGCTGAAACTCCACAACTTTCGTATTTATTTGAAGATGAGACTAATTATGTAATAACTACTGCGGAATCTACTGTAATGTTTTCTGTACAACTGAATGTATCACAACTGAGGGAAAATGAAGGTGTACAACTAAGCCAACCGGAAAAGCAACAAACAGAATTCGTACTGCACCAATATGCTAAATTATTCACATCCGGTACTGAGCCAACACCATATACAGAACATACAGTAAAACTGATTGATGATATTCCAATTTCTGTACCACCTTATCGGATGTCTGAACAAAACAAAAACATATTGAAGGCAGAACTGGATAAGCTTCTGAAAGATGGAATCATAGAAGCATGCGAATTCCCGTATGCTGCTCCAGTTGTTCTAGTATCTAAACCTGATGGTAGAATTCGCCTTTGTGTCAATTATCAACGCCTAAATGAGAAAACAGTTTCCGATAAATACCTACTTCCTAGGATTAATGATCTATTACACACTGCAAAACAAAGTATATGACCACCCTTGATTAAAAATCAGAATACCATCAAGTCTCTGTCCGCGAATCTGATCGAGATAAAATAGAATTTATTTGCTCATTTGGAATTTTCCGTTATACGAGGATGCCATTTGGAATGAAAAATGCACCCTCCACTTTCCAAATACTCATTGATCGATTCAAATCCGGACTCCAAGATTTAACCATGTTAGCTTATATAGACGATTTGAATGTATTATCCAGAACTTACCAAGAACACTTTTCTGATTTACGAGTTTTTGACCGACTTGTAGCTTTCAAGCTTCACCTCAATCGATCCAAATGCCATTTTGTGTGCTCCTCTGTGAAATATTTGGGACACGTAATTACACCCCAAGGAATCGAACCAGATCCTTCCAGAATCATCTCTATTCTGGAGAGACCACCTCCCAAAAATGTGAAAGAGCTTTTGTCCTTTGTCCAAACATGCTCGTGGTTCCGGCGAATAATTTCTTCATTTGCAGAAGTTTCAAAGCCCTTAACCTCCTTAACCAAGAAGAAAGCTATTTGGAAATGGGAGAAGAAAGAATAAGATTCTTTCGACCTTCTGAAACAACTTCTGACTAGTAATCCCATCCTCCGACAAACTGATGCTAATTCATACGCTTTAGGGGCAGTTTTACTCTAAGGGGAGAAGGCTGATGAAAGACCTGTTGAATATGCAAGTCGACTACTCACACCTGCTGAGATGCATTATCACACTACAGAAAGAGAAGCTTTAGCAGTTGTGTGGGCTGTGGAGAAATTTATAGTGATTTCATTAGAATTTGTTCAAAGGTCGCCATCCGAAATCACAATTTCTCACAAATTCAGGAGGAGATGGATTCGAAGTTGATGAAAAAACTGAATTATCGGGTATCGAATACTTTACTATACTTGACCAAACCTCAGGTTTTCACCAAATAGAAGTATATTGCCAAAACCACTTTTCCGTAGAAAAGGGTCATTTCGTATTCGTACGTATGCCATTTGGATTGAAAAATGCCCCATCCACATTCTAAATAATCATGGACAATATTCTTCTATATGGATTATGTAGGTACCCATAGCATTGGGAGCATAACAATTTTTAGATAATGTTTAACAGGAATTTCCTGGAATAAATGGAATGGGTGAACACAAAAAAATATATGAAAGCTGTTGATTCACTCGGACACAGCCAAACCAGGTCCAGGGCAGAATTTCCTTCAAACACAAAAGCTGTTGATGCAAAATGAATTTTGAAGTTAAATTGTGAATAATATACAAGCGAATGGCTTGATATAAGTAAGGAAGAAGTCCAACATGCAGTCTCCTTATCAAAAAATAGGAAAACTGCAGGTCCAGATGGAATTTACTCGGAAGTTATTAAATTCTTGAAAAACGAGGAGAAGAAGAAGAAGAAAGTCTAACGTTCTCCATGTGACGATAAAAGACGAATCATATCCAGAGAAATTCGAAAATTTTTCAAGCAGATTGGAATAATCAAAAAACAGCGTTGGTGAAAGTATGAACAGAACTCTTAAAAGAAAATTAATTGTCGAGTATTGAATACTTTACTACACTTGACCAAACCTCAGGTTTTCACCAAATAGAAGTATATTTCCAAAACCGCTTCTTCCGTAGAAAAGGGCCATTTCGAATTCGTACGCATGCCATTTGGATTAAAAAATGCCCCGTCCACACTTCACAATATTCTTCTATGCGGATTATGTAGTTACCCATTGCATTGGGAGCATAATAATTTCTAGATAATAACAGGAATTTCCTGAAGTAAATGGAATAGATGAACCCAAAAGATAGATGGAAGCTGTTGATTCACTCAGACACAGCCAAACCTGGTCCAGAGCAGAATTTCCTTTAAACACTCGAATAAGAGTGGTGGGTAGAAGTGCGTTTCAATCCTCCAATAAGGAGTGCAGTGATTCTGCCAAAATTTACACAGCAAATGTCCACTAATGCAGTACCGAAGTATACTCCCCTACAGGGTGCCAGAGGCTTCAAATCCAAATACTAAAATCCAACCTCTTGGCAAACAAACTATTCGGATTACGGTGAGACTTTTCTACCCAAAATCCACTCAACAACTAACACAAAATGAAGACTCGGGGTCCCATGAGGTTCCTCAAAAAGGCGGCCATAATTACAATTATTCTTTCTTTCCA